TGATCCTTTTTTTTTTTTGAGACACAGTCCCGCTCTGTCACTCAGGCTGCAGTGCAATGACACGATCTCGGCTCACTGCAACCTCTGCCTCCTGGGTTCAAGCAATTCTGCTTCAGCCTCCTGAATAGCTGGGATTACAGATGTGTGCCACCAAGCCCGGCTAATTATATGTAAATATATATACATATATTTAAGTTGAAACTGGAAAGTTGGCAAATTTGAGGAGAAACCCTCAGTGGGAAAGAAAGGGGTACAGAACTGTGAATAGTTCTAGTTTAGGCATTTTGGCAAAATATCTAGTAGATAAATGTAGCTGTTACCCATTCTTCTCTTCTTCCTTAGGTATAAAATATCCCATTTTAGATGGACACATGGTCGCCCAAAGTGCAAAAACACTTTTTTTGTTTTTGAGACGGAGTCTTGCTCTGTTGCCAGGCTGGAGAGCAGTGGCGTAATCTCGGCTCACTGCAAACCTCTGCTTCCCGGGCTCAAGCGATTATCCTGCTTCAGCCTCCTGAGTAGCTGGGACTACAGGTGTGTGCCACGAAGCCCAGCTAATTTCTGTGTTTTTAGTAGAGAGGAGATTTCACCATGTTGGCCAGGATTGTCTTGATCTCTTGACCTTGTGATCCGCCCACCTCAGCCTCCCAAAGTGCTGGGATTACAGGCGTGAGCCACTGCGCCCGGCCAAATTTCTCCACCTTTCTTATAGCTAGATGTGGCCGTGTGATTGACATCTGGCTAACGGGATATAAGTAGAAATGGTGTATGCTATGTTGGAAAGTTTTGGTTTTGTTTTTCTGTAATTCTTTTTCCATTTCTTTTTCTGGCTGCCTGGAATACAGATACAATGGCCAAGCCATCCTGGACCTTGAGAATGTAAGCCATATGTAAGAAAGAAAAAAATAATCTTGCTTAAGAAAATTTCACTATATTTTTCATTTGTAGCCAAAGCTAATCATAACTTATTTAAAGATTTTAGATACTATACCTGTTGAAAACTTCCCACTCCCATCAACCAAGTTAGTAGAAACAAAGACTATGGAGGAAAAAGCACAGCCTATATAGTCAGAAAAGATAAATTACAGTCTTGGCTCCTTCAGGTTTTAGTCATATAATATTGGCAAACTTCTGAGACTCATCATTATTCATTATTATCTCTATACTAAATATATTAAATGTTATATATCATCTTGATATATTTAATATTAATATTAACATATATTACATATCATGTTAATATATGTTTAATGATATAATATATTTAATGTTGATATAATATATATAATATAGAGATGATGATATTAATGTTACCTTTTCGGAGTTGCAGGAAGGGTTGTGATGTCAGGTGAGATAATATGAGAATGGGTTGGGTAAACTATAAAGTATTACATAATCTTTTTTCCTTGCTTCTATTTCTAGCAAGAAGAAAATGAATCATGGGCTGGTTAGGTAGAGGAGTAAACAGGGCCATTCAGGATTAGGCAGTGACACAGCAGATGCCCAGCTCTATATACTCTGTTGTTCATGCCAGTGACATTCAGAAGAAAGAACTTCATACAAATATCATTTAAACAGGAACCAACTGTATGTTCTTCAAAGGATGCAGTTAGCATAGTGCCTGTCATAATGATAAGTACTGAATAAACGCTATCTCTACTATTACAACTACGCCTACAATTATAGTAATGGAGTCTAAACCACTGAAAGTGGCATCTCCAGCATGTGCTTTTCCCATAGACAGACCTCTGTGAGAACCCAGATTAAAATCCTCCTGTTTAAATGTTTCATGCTAAAGGACTAAGAGACCTTGCTATATTCATGGCCTTACCAATGGAACTAAAATTCTTAAGTTTGTTGGTTGAAACAGCAGATGAGCACTGTTTTAGTGCTGCTGAGATTGGTAATTGAAAAATAACAAAAATGTATTTATTACAGTTCTGGAGGCTGGGAAGTCCAAGATCAAGTCACCAGCAGGTGCATGTCTGGTGAATGTTCGGTCTCTGCTTCCAAGATGGCTTCTTGAACACTGTGTCCTCACATGGAGAAAGGACAAAAAGAGAGGCACTCCCTCTGTCAGGATCTATTATAAGAGCACCTAACCCCATTCACAAGGGAGGAGCCCTCATGGCAAAATCACCACTTAAAGGCCCTGCCTTTTGATACTATCACATTAGCAGCAGGTGAATTTTGGAGGGGACATATTTGAACCATAGTAAGTGGTTTCAAAAGCTATTATACTTTGCCAACTTTTTTTCCCCATTGAATCTACAGGTGGACCAACTTTAGTAAAGCTTCTGTATAGCCTTATATTAGTCTGTTCACATGCTGCTAATAAAGACATACTTGAGACTGGGTAATTTACAAAGGAAAGAAGTTTAATTGACTCACAGTTCTGCAGGGCTGGGAGGCCTCACAATCATGGTGGAAGGTGAATGGGAGGAAAGTCATGTCACACGATGGCAGCAGGCAAGAGAGAGCATGTGCAAGGGAACTCTTTACAAAACCACAGATCTCATGAGACTCATTCACTATCATGAAAATAGCATGGGAAAAACCTGCTCCCCATGATTCAATTACCTTTCTCTGGGTCCTTCCCATGACAGGTGGAAATTATGGGAGCTACAATTCAAGGAGAGATTTGGGTAGGGACACAGCCAAACCATATCAGGCCTGAAAGTCTTGCAATCACTTTAAAAGGAGATTAGATTTTGGGGCTTGTCCTCTATCACAGTTCATTTGTGAGTTTATGATTTAATCATCAGAAGACAAGCCTATGAGTCCCATTTGAAAGTTCTTAGTGACCATCTTACTATTGGTTCACACTTAAAGCGTCTTTAATGAATACAGAGATATGTTACAGGGCAGGGCTTCTCAAGCGTTAACGTGCATGTGAGTCACCCGGGAGTCTTGTTAGGTGGAGGTGCAGCAGCTCTGGGGCCAGGCTGAGATTCTGCATTTCTCACAAGCTCCCAGGTGATGCCGATGACAAAGATCCATGGACAACACTTGGAGATGCAAAGTTAAAAGTAATATAGCTAAGTAAGTGACAAAGGTTGGATTTAAACACAGGTTTGTCTAATTCCAAAGTCTATGTCTTTTCCACAATACGAGATTCAGAAATGGAAAGCTGAGTAATAAATGAGAAATTGTGTTTAAGCCTAATTATTAGTTATTTGGGATTACTATTATCTGTAATGTTAACATTTAGAATCCTTTTCTCAGAGAATAAAGAGAGGTACATTAAACTGGAGAAAAACGTTTTTGAAGAAAGGACAGTGAGAATTTAATAGGATAAAAAAACGAAGAATATAAAGGAGTGGAACGATTACAAAAGACAGGTGATAAGTATTTACATTTTTTTTCTGACATAGGATTTCACTGTGACCAAGGTTAAGTGCGGTGGCCTGATCCCGGCTCAAGGCAACCTCCACCTCCTCAAGTGATCCTCTCACCTCAGCCTCCTAAGTAGCTGGGACCACAGGCATGTGCCACTATGCCTGGCTAATTTTTTGTAATTTTAGTAGAGGCAAGGTTTTACCATGTTTTCCAGTTTGGTCTCAAACTCCTGAGCTCAGAAGATCCACCTGACTCGGCCTCCCAAAGTGCTGGGATTACAGGCATGAGCCACTGTGCCCAGAACTATATACATTCTTAAAAAGCCACAACTTGCCACATTTCTAAAATGGTAACCACAAACATCACATACCATATTCACCAAGGCTCTCTGACCACCCCAGCACCTGCCAGGTGACAATAACAATGGACAGTGGGACTAGAGAAGAGAGCATCATGGCATAAAGAGAAGAGGCCCATCTTCCATTTCACCAGTATTCTGGAAAATGGCCAGGTCTACTGGCAATAGAGCAAGCCCAGAGCCATGCCAGCCTTACAGGGCTGGCTGTGAGCACAAACCTGTGAGGTCTCCTTCACAGAACAGCTCATAAAATAGAAAATGAAGGATTTTGTCTTTATAATCGTGATGTTTCTGGATCAGACAAGTCTAAATTTGTACAGCCAGAGAGCTTTCCTCTGGATTTCATATTAAAGGCAATTTCAAAGCCCTACAGAAAGTGTACACCCTGTGTATTTTCATTAGACCATAAGAACACTGTACTAGCACAGGCCAGGGAATATCCAGCAGTATTTCGTATCTGACATTGGCACCATCTGAGGTTTCTGAAGAACATAATGTCCTTTTTGTCATTAACTGCAAAAGTTTAGGAAACTTCACAAACACACCTCCAGCCTCCTCTGGTGTCCTGTTATCCATCATTTCTAAACATGCCAAGAGCCTTCCTGAAGTTACTGAACTGGAATCTATCAGATCCTGATTCTGTATGTTTATTACCTACTGTTTAGACTTGAATGTTCTTTTACTAGTCCTAACCTATTTTCAAAGGACTTTGTATTTATTCTGTCTTAACTCATTTTGTTCATGTATTATTTTCTCTATTAGAATCTAAGATTCTATACTATTTTATACTTATTTTTGAGGTAGTATCTTTCTCACAAAACTGTGAATTCTAGAAAGCCTAGAACTTAACTTAGAGTTTGTATCACTGGTACCTAGCACAGCATCAAGCGAACAGTAGGCCTTCAAAACAACATTGGATGAAAACAAGAATAAGCTCTGGTGCAGAGATGCGATCATCATATAGTGTCATTTATTAGAAGAATCTCAAGTTTTTAAAGGAATGGAATTTCCTTTAAACTATCTTTTCTTGGTTTATTTAATTCTGTTATGTAAAGATTTAGGAAATAACCAATTGAAGACCTACTCATTATCCCAATACTTTCCAGTTCTTTTAAATTCTAATCATAGATATTTTCTGCACATCTATAAACCATGACCATGAATACTGCAGGGTACCGTTCTTAAGTTCACATGCCCATATTCTCTTTGAGGATGTTCAACCATACAACAATAGTGAGCATGCTGCTCTTGCCTTGTGTGAATTCTGAGAGAAAAGCTAGTATATAACATATATATCACATACCTGATCAAACTGGGGGTCTTCTCCACGTTGCAGAGATTTTGTTAATGGCTTTTCCTAGCAAGAAAAAGAATATATGCAAGAATAGTTATTAGAGTCTCTTAAATAGTATAAAAGAAATGTCATTATTATTCTATTTTTTTCTCACTCATTTCTCTCATTATGGAATGAGGAGGTGCCAATGTTTACATGAGTGAGGAATTCTCCCTTAAGTATTTTAACCATAGTAGGTATGTTTGATCATTACCGCCATGACTCTTGCTATTCACCTTAACACATACCTCTTTGACCAAAATATTAAGAATCTGATGCTTAGGGAAACACAAATTAAAACTACAATGAGATATCACCTCATACCCAGCATAAAGACTTTTATCAAAAAGACAAAGATAATAATGTTGGTGAACATGTAGAGAAAAAAGAACTCTTATATACTGTTAGTGGGAAATGTATATGAGTAGAGCCATTGTGCAAAAAAGAATGGAGGTTTTTCAAAAAATTAAAGATAGAACTACCATATGGTCCAGTAAGTCGCCTTCTGAGTATGTATCCAAAGAAAATGAAATCAGTATCTTGAAGAGATATCTGCAAGCTCATGTTAACTGCAACATTATTCACAATAGCCAAATTCTGTCAGCCAAAGTATCCGTCAGTGGATGAATGGATAAAGAAATGTGCTATACATACACAATGGAAGATTATTTAGCCTTAAAAAAGGAAATCTGGTTATTTTTTATGACATGGACAAACCTGGAGGATATTATGCCGGGTGTTACAAGCCAGGCACAGAAAGACAAATACTGTACAATCTCACATAACCGTGAAATTAAAAAAAAGTCAAATTCGCAGAAGCAGAGACTAGAATGGTAGTTACTACAGGCTGGTGAGAGAGGGATGAGAGGAAATGGAAGATGTTGATCAAAGACTACAGAGTTTCATTTAGATAGGAAGAATAAGTTCTGGAAAGCTACCGTATAGCATGGTGACTATGGTTAATAATGTATTGTGCTATGGCCTGAATATATCCCCCCAAATTCCTATGCTGAAACCTGACCTTCAAGGTGATGGTGTTAAGAGGTGGGGCTGGCCAGGTGCTGTGGCTCACACCCATAATTCCAGCACTTTGGGAGGCTGAGGTGGGAGGATCATGAGGTCGAGATTGAGACCATCCTGGCCAACATGATGAAACCCCTTCCCTACTAAAAACATAAAAATTAGCTGGGTGTGGTGGCACAAGCCTGTAATCCAAGCTACTTGGGAGGATGAGGCAGGAGAATCGCTTGAACCTGGGAGGAGGACATCGCAGTGAGCTGAAATAATGCCACTGCACTTCAGCCTGGTGACAGAGCGAGACTCCATCTCAAAAAATAAAAATAAAATAAAATAAAATAAAATGTTGAAAGTAATACACCATTCCAAGTCCCTAACTTTAGAAGGAAAGAAACGTTTATTTATTAGACTGGCACTGAGGGACAACATACCAATCATACATTTACTAGGAGTAACTGGTGAATTTGGGGCACATGATTTGTCTTGAACCACATGTAGATCTCTGCAAAAATGTGATTTGTGGGAACAAGAGTCTACTATAGAAAGAATTCTCCCTAATCATGACATCTTTATTCACGTTAGGAAGATTTAACTGATCTTCAGTCAGGGCATTTCATGTTACTTATCCGTGTGTGTGTGTGTGTGTGTGTGTGTGTGTGTGTGTGTGTCTTTGCAATGGAAGTTCCCGCTGATCCAAAATTTGGTTAGGATTAGAAACAATGTAAAAATTATATATCAAAAAATATTACCTTTCCCTTTGGCCAATACAGGTTCCCTAGCAAGATTCCATTATATTTAGTTGCTCACATAGACCCTCTCACTGTGGTTCTAATAATTTTTTCAGTCTTCTCTACTCACAAAGATGATCTATACCTAAGGCAGATGCAAACCCCTATCCCTGCCCCATATTGTATTTGTTCTTTGAAGAAATGCAAATGGTGGTCTCATCCTGCAAGACTGAGGTTTCACCAAGAGCCTTACAAATCAACTACTCTGTCTCTCTTGCTAAATATACAGGTTTAAAATGTATATTCATCTAAAATACAGATAATACTGTGTTCTTATGAGTAACATTTTCTGTTGAAAGTATACTATGTAGATATAATGAACAGATACTATATGTTTCTTTATCATTCAACAGTAACTGAGGGTTCACAATGTGTCAGATGTTACCTGTCGGGGTGGAATACTGAAGAACACACGATCCTGAATCCCGATACCCATCCTGATACCTGCTACTGGAGGGAAATGTGGTTAATTTCTTCTTATGAATCTTGTCTCTACTTGTTCATTATTCAAACCTCTGGTGAACTATCACTTCCTCAGGGAAGCCCTTCTCTGAACCATCCCCTAACACCTGTGTGCTCCTCCCTGGTACATGCCTGCAAAGATTCAGTATTTGTCCTTTCACAGACCTTACCATAGAGTAAAATCACATCACAGCCATCATCTTGTGCAATTACACACTCATGAGTGAGGTAACAAGCACCATCCCTGCTAGGTGGCAATCCCCAGAAATGCAGTGACTGCTGTTTCTCTCAACACTTAAAGTCACGGGACAGAGCATAGCTTGCCTGACATGTAGCATTCCACCCAACATGTGGCATGTGACACACTGTGAACCCTCAGACACTGTGGAGTGATGAATACATATAGTATTTATTCATTATATCTAAATCATATACTTTGAACAGAAAATGTTTGTTTACCCATAAGAACACAGTCTGCTCTGTGTTTTAGATGAATACACATTTTGAACCTGTGTATTTAGCAACGGAGACAGAGTCGTTGATTTGTAAGGCTCTTGGTGAAAACTCGGACTTGTAGGGTGAGACTACCACATGCATTTTGCTTGGTGTTGGCTAGGCATTTGCCAATTCATAAAAGTTCTAGGACAGTGGTATCCAGTTTCTTGAAATATGAAAATCCCTTTATTTTCTGTATATATGTTTTGTTTTAAGTTTTAAAAATATTTTTTATTGTGGTAAAGTATACATAGCAGAATATTTAACACTTTAAAGTTTACAAATCAGTGGCATTAAGTACATTTAAACGTGTTCAAATATCATCATTATCTATTTTATGAAGACTGCTTTAATTCCAGAAATGTTCAAAAAGTTCTCAACCAGAATACACACACTCACACTCCAAACACACAAGATAGCAATTTTACTTCAGTATCTACTGTTTAAAACTACACATAATGACAGAGAGCTAATACTGCAGCTCCAATGATACTTTTAAATGGCTCTGGACTGGGCATGGTGGCTCAGGCCTGTAATTCCAGCACTTTGGGAGGCAGAGGTAGGTGGATCACCTGATGTTGGGAGTTTGAGACCAGCCTGTCCAATATAGTGAAACCCTATCTCTATTAAAAGTACAAAAATTAGCTAGGTGTGGTGGCAGATACCTATAATCCCAGCTCCTTGGGAAGCTGAGGTGGGAGAATCACTTGAACCCAGGAGGTCGAGGTTGCAGTGAGCCGAGATTGCTCCACTGCACTCCAACCTAGGTAACAGAGTGAGACTTTATCTCAAAAAAAAAAAAAAAAAAAAAAAAGGCTCTGTACTAGAGTAGCAACAATCAATACTGCTTCTATATATACTAGAAACATGGGAATACATCCATAAGGGAGACCTTAAAACCTAGCCAAGTTGGCCGGTTGCGGTGGCTCATGCCTGTAATCCCAGCACTTTGGGAGGCCGAGGCGGGTGGATCACGAGGTCAAGAGATCGAGACCATCCTGGTCAACATGGTGAAACCCCGTCTCTACTAAAAATAAAAAAAAAAATTAGCTGGGCATGGTGGCGCAGGCCTGTGAGCCGAGATCGCGCCATTGCACTCCAGCCTAGGTAACAAGAGCGAAACTCTGTCTCAAAAAAAAAAAAAAGGAAACCCAGCTGAGTAATAACTCAGCACACCTGTGGGTCTGTAGGTCCTTACAACAACTCAGAAGTTCACCTCATAGGAGCATGGAAGGCAATCCTTTCACTACTACCGAAAAGAGGATCCTGCCGCAGTGGAGAAAGAAAGGTGACTGTGTCCACCCACATCCCAAAGCTCTCCATACCTGAAAGTTATTTTTGTCCCACTACAAACTGAATGGGAAGATGATAAACATGATATTTTATACTTATACATTTTTGCATACATATGAAGGAAACAATATATTGCCAGGCTCACTTTCTCTAGTAAGCAAAGCTGATACAAGTTGTCACTCTACATAAAAGTGAAGTCCATTAGCTAAGAACCTGGGGTCGATTCTTCAATAAAATAACATACTAAGTTTTCCTTAATTATTTTTACCCAACTATACTGTTTTGTGTGTGTGTGTGTGTGTGTGTGTGTGTGTGTGTGTGATAGAGTCTTGCTCTGTTGCCCAGGCTGGAGGGCTGTGGCGTGATCTTGGCTCACTGCAACCTTTGCCTCCTGGGTTCAAGCGATTCTCTTGCCTCAGCCTCAGCCTCAGCCTCTGGAGTAGATGGGATTACAGGCATGTGTCACCACGCCTGGCTAATTTTTGTATTTTTAGTATGGGGTTTTGCCATGTTGACCTGGCTGGTCTGGAACACTTGACCTCAGGTGATCCACCCACCGCGGCCTCCCAAAGTGCTAGGATTACAGGCATGAGCCACTGCTCCTGGCCACAGATATACTGTCTTAATCATATTCTTTTAAATGTCACTTTCCAGATGAAGCCCCTCCCCAGTTTTCCCTGGCAGAGTCACCTATTAGTTATCACACAGTACTTTATTTGCACCTATTCCTGTCAGCATTCCCACCATGTTGTAACTTGTCTGTCTCCTCCATACCCCTAAGTACACAGTTGGAACTTATCAGGGTGTGTTAAATGCCTGACTATATCTCCATGCATTTGGAAAGACAGCTTTGGGCACAGAGAATCAAGTTCACATTTTAACATAACCAAGATTTTCTTTGCATCAACATAGATTTTATCAGTGAAATGAGGCTTAAGAGCACACGTAGGGGAGAGAATACCACAGTGG